CAGGCCCCCTGCTGATCTTCTAAAGAACTGGGGGGTGTTGAATCTTTTGGGGGAAGCCATTATAAAAGAGCATAACCCAAAGGACCCCTGGCTGTTGGTCAGTGCCATGGGCCTCTTTTCTCGAGTATAGTGTAGTGAAGACCCCTCCTAGAGACCCCCTCTGTTTAGAAGGCTTGTGGTGGTCTGTACCGTGCAGTACTTGGGGTGCCCCTGTGGGAGCAGGGCATAATCAGAACTAAACACTAGCTACCGCTGCAGAGACAAAAAACCTTCCGACTGATGCGGTTTTTCCCCTGCATCTTAGGTCTGTCGAGCTGAACAAAAGGCCCACCTCCTTTTTGAGGTTCGTGGAGGTCTTACTTTGCTTTAAGGTTAACTGGCAAATGGGTTTGCAACTCAGATAGGCTTTGGAAGAACTAAAATACAGCAGGTCACCTGGTAGACTTCAGTGGTGACCAGTTTAAAAAAAAAAAAAAAAAACAGAAAAAATCCCAAGAGTAACCTTCTAAAAGGAACGGCAGTTTTTCCTAGGGCTAAAGGGCCCACTGTGCTAAACAGGGTCCTGTCAAACGTGGCCCACCCCCACTTTGAGATGAGAAGGGACTCTGTCCCAGCTGCACGGTGCTCAGGAGAACGTGGGCTTCGAGCTTTCACTGGCTTCCTGGATGTTTAAAAGAGAAGGAAGGGGGCGCCTGGGTGGCGCAGTCGGTTAAGCGTCCGACTTCAGCTGGGTCACGATCTCGAGGTCCGGGAGTTCGAGCCCCGCGTCGGGCTCTGGGCTGACGGCTCTGGGCTGACGGCTCGGAGCCTGGAGCCTGTTTCCGATTCTGTGTCTCCCTCTCTCTCTGCCCCTCCCCCGCTCATGCTCTGTCTCTCTCTGTCCCAAAAATAAGCGTTGAAAACAAAAGGCAGTCCCTTTGGGGGGCCCTTCCATGCCACTCAACATTTTACCTGGATGCCCCTTTCTACCATTTTTTTGGTTTTGTTACCACTTTCACCCCTCAGTCTCTTCAGCCCGTTTCCACACCTTCGTGGCACGATGTGTCTCCCTCCCGTGGAGAATCGTGGCTCACGTGCATACACGTCAATAAAAACCATAATGATGATTTAATGACTTATGTAACAGGTCCTTTTATATATACTAAGACTTAACCTTCACCTAAACCTACGAAATCAGAGCTGTGATCCCCATTTTAGATACGGAAATTGAGGAATAGGGAAGCGGAGCAACTTCTCAGGGGCCACACGGCTAATAGAACCGAAATTTGAAACTTTGCAGCTGGCTTCGCGGTCAGTTCCCGAAACTACGGCGCCATACAATCTCATGTAGATTTCACTTTTCAATCTTCCTTGGTATCTGTGGGATTAAAAACCCTCCAGAATTTGACTGTTGTCTTTAATATGCATTGCTAGAGTGCAAGGTTTGGGGTTTGCTTCCAGGGCACATAGTGATGGGTTTCAGATCCGGCAGGTGTGGGTTCTGATCAGTTGGAAGACTTCTAGCCCCCTGGGCTTCAGCATCTCCTCTGAGCCAGCCCCTCAGAGCTTGCAAAAGTGTGGTTGCCAGGGGTGCCTGGGTGGCTCAGCCTGTTAAGCATCCAACTCTTGACTTAAGCTCAGGCCATGATCTCCGTTTGTGAGTTCCAGCCCTACATCTGGCTCTGTGCTGACAGCGTGGAGCCACCTTCTGATTAGGTCTATCTCTCTGCCCCTCCCGTGCATGGGTGTGTGTGTCCTTTCTCAAAAGTAAACATTTAGGGGCACCTGGGTGGCTCAGTCGGTTAAGCGTCCGACTTCGGCTCAGGTCATGATCTCACGGTCCGTGAGTTCGAGCCCCATGTCGGGCTCTGTGCTGACAGCTCAGAGCCTAGAGCCTGCTTCAGATTCTGTGTCTCCCTTTCTCTCTGACCCTCCCCCATTCATGCTCTGTCTCTCTCTGTCTCAAAAATATTTAAAAAAATAAACATTTAAAGTGTGATTGGCAGATCAGCATCAGCTGGGAACTTGTTAGATAACGAAAAACCAGCTCTACTCCAGATCCACTGAATCAGGAACTCTAAAGATGAAGCCCAAGCCGCCTGTGCCTTAATAAGCCCTCCAGGTAATCCAGGAGCACTTAAGCGTTGCCCTGGCATTGGGCCCCTATTTTAATGTGCACAGGAATCACCTGGGGATCTTGTTAAGGGGCAGATTGATTCTGTTGGTCTGGGACCTGAGGTTCTGCTTCTCTAACAAGCTTCCAAGTTACGCTGATAACTAGAAGCTCTGGGACCACCCTTCAAGTAGCAAAAGGGCTTAGAGTATATGCCGTAATCACTGGGGCCTGTTTTAAAAGTATGGGTTCCGGGATGCCAGGGTGGCGGTTGGTGGATTATCCAGCTCTTGATTTCGGCTCAAGTCCTGATCTCACGCTTTGTCTTGGGAGACCGTGCCTGGTGTCAGGCTCTGTGCTGATCGCGTGGGGCCTACTTGGGGTTCTCGCTCCCTGCCCCTCCGCCGCCCTCACTTGATCTTTCTCTCCTCCTCTCTCAAACTTAATTTTTTTTTTTTTGGTCCTGGGATCTGCCCTTAACCCCAACCCCTAGTTATCTGCGGTGAGCACTGGGAAGGTACATTTAAAACCTACAACTCCCTGGGGCGCCTGGGTGGCTGAGTCGGTTAAGCGTCCAGCTTTGGCTCAGGTCATGATGACCTGGTTCATGAGTCCGAGCCCCACATCGGCCACTGTGCTGACAGCTTAGCGCCTGGAGCCTGCTTTGAATTCTGTGGCTCCCTCTCTCTCTACTCCTCCCCTGCTCATGCTCTCTTTCTCTGCTTCAAAAATAAATAAAAACATTAGGACCTTCAACTCCTGGGGCGACTGAGTGACTCGGTCCATTAAGCAACCAATCCTTGATGTAGGCTCAGGTTATGATCTCCTAGTTTGTGGAATTGACCCCTGCATCAGGGTCTGTGCTGACAGCACGGAGCCTGCTTGGGATCCCCCCCCACCCCCACCCCATCTCTCTGCCCCAACCCTGGCTCATGCTCTCTTTCAAAATGTTTTAAAAATAAGTAAAACCCACAATGCAGGTGATCCTGATACAGGTGTGGGGGCTCTCCTGTACATCGTAGGATGGTTTCAACATCCCTGGCCTGTACTCCCTAAATGCCACTATCCCCTATGTGTGTGCACATCTGACAGATGTCCCCAAGCATTGCCAGATGTCCGCTGGGGGCAAAATGACCCTCTGTTGAGAGCCACAGGATTAGGTCACTCGTTCACATCCTGTTAAGGGGCTCTGAGCACCACACTATTCAGATGTGACCTCTGCAGGCCTTTATTCCTGAATAGTGTTTACATGGCACCAGCTGGGTCACGCACGTACTGAGAACTTCCATTGTGCATTTCTTAACCCTACAACTCCGACAGGTCAATGATCCCTTCTTCAAGGGTAAGCTGAGGCTCAGAAAGGTTAAGTTTCAGTTAGCAAGTTGCTGAGCAAGCCCTGTACTGGAGTTGATGTCCTTCCCAGTGTGCTCAACGGCCTCTCCTGGTAAGAGGTTCGCCTTGACAAATCTCTCCCGGGGAATGGAATCCTCCTTGTATACCAGGAGCAAAAAGAATCCCAGTTCTTGGCCTCTAATTCCTACAGGAGTCAAGGCATGTATATTTTAAGACCGCAGACCTTGACAGCTTTTGTTTTCCCTTGGGTTTAAATCTATTTGGAGAGAAATCACTTTACCTTTTAGGAATACTTGGTCCTTGTGACAAATTCTTAAACCTCCCCATTAGCTCAAACCACATGAAACTGTGTGACCATTTTGGCCCACAAAAATGTCCGTTTTGCATGATTCTACCATCCTGGCAAAAGGTTACCGTGAACTTCGACATACCTGGTGCTGGGCTTCAAAGCCGACAGCGTGGCCAGTCTGGTTTCCTCTGTCCCACTATTCCCCTGCCCTGGATTACTTTGAAAATGAATCTGATACCTAGGCCTTGTAAGTATCTGTCCCTAAATGACGAGAATGCTCTCAAAACTGATTTCGTCTTTGCAATCTGAAGGGATTTTTTTTTTTTTTTCTTATCGAGCTTTGAGTGTTGATGTTTCTCGTGGTCTTGACTGGCTGTTCAAGTGTGTACAAATCAGGATTCAGAGAAACTCCTGATCGCAGAAATCATCTCAAGCCTTTGACTCTGGTTCCTCTCTGCCCCCCATCTTTAAGCGAGGTGTTGAAACCATGGTCTTTGTGTAGGAGTTCCGTGGTGCTGGAAGTGTGGTCTGTGACCTACTGAATGGAGACCAAGCAAATTCAGAAATTGAGAAAGCTTTTAAAAATAGCTTGATGTTTTCAAGGCACCCAGCTTTCCTCTCAAATAACATTTGGCCTTTTTGGTCCTATTTCACTTGTAATTTGTGTTACAACTTATAAAAAAAAAAATGTCCACGTGTGATGGATCAGAAAACGTCTGCAAACTAAGTTTTCCCTGGGTCATTTGAGAAGCACTGTTGCAAGTTTTGCCTCCTGGATCTTGCCAGTTGCCTGTCATGTTACCATTTCCCTTGTTCCCTGTGTTTCCTGGAAGTTGGTAGTTCAAGAAAGGACTTCTGTAAGGCCAGAGCGTACTTGGCTTTGTTTTTAATGTGTCGTCTTTTTTTTCCCCCCAAGGCTGTTCTAGCCTAAGACGCACCATGGTGGTTCCATTTGAGAAAGTAACGCTTTTTTTTTTTTCTTTTTTTGTCTCCATTTCAGCTTCAGAATTAGATAATGATCCCAAACCAACTTGTCCCGCCGTGGATGGCGGTGATGCTCAGAAAATCCCTGCCATGGCCCTTGCCCCAGAGTCGAAGGACCAAACCGTGATGCTTGGAGAAAGGACCTTCAACTGTTGCTATCCAGGTGAACCCCAAACGTGCCACGTGGAGCCCCTTCTCTGTACCGGGTGCTGGCGGACGAGCTCTGCCTCACTTTACCCGCTGAGCCCCTGTGCTGTGTTCCCACATGGTCCTGGCACACAGGAGCGTTCTGTGTGTTCTAAGTATCCTGTATGGCATCTGAGCTCAGTGTGACTTCCCAGAACTTCAGATTTCTGGTAGCTTCCTTTTGGAGCTTTATTTATTTATTTATTTTTTAGTGAACTTTTTTTTGTCAAAAACTTTTTAATGTTTATTTCTGAGAGACAGAGCACGAGCGGGGGAGGTGTAGAGAATCTGAAACAGGCTCTAGGCTCGAACCCACAGACTGAGATCATGACCTGAGCCAAAGTCCAATGCTCAACTGACTGAGCCACCCAGACCTGCCCAGCTTCTTTTT